ATAATAATAATAATAATAATAATAATAATAATAATAATAATAATAATAATAATAATAATAATAATAATAATAATAATAATAATAATAATAATAATAATAATAATAATAATAATAATAATAATAATAATAATAATAATAATAATAATAATAAGTTATGACCTAAGAACATTTTCTTGTAGGGTAATGAAACCTTGTATATATTGATTTCGATCTCCATTTATGTTATCTATTTGTCGTGTTTTGCTTTCGTTTATGTTTTCCTGGATCACTTACTTGTCGGGAAGAACTATCACAAGCCTTTCAAGCGCGATTCTTTCCACCATCGAAGACGGCACAACTACGAAGAGATGTAGGCAACTTCAGACAAATGAGCCAAGAGCCGATGCACGAGTCATGTTAAAGGTTCAAGGACTTATTACGACAATGCCCACAACACGGATTCAACTTGTGGGATCAAATGGATTTGTTCTACAATGGGCTCGATCAACCCGCCCGATCTCTAGTCGATGCTGCTTCGATGGATCGTTGCAAAACAAGACTCCCACAGACGCTCGAGACATTGTCGAACGAATGTGTGAAAATGCTTACCATTGGCCGTCCGAATGAAGTGGTATATAAAAGGTGGCCTGAGTCCACCAACTCAATCCATTAGCCTCGTTATCAGCACAGTTAGCGATCATATCCAATCAGGTCGCCCAATTGTCAGTTCGAGGGCCACAAACCAAACAAGTAGCAGTAGCGAGTACTTCACAAGCCACAAATGACGATTGGGAGCAGGCACACTATATGAACTAGCAATTCAACAATTTTCGGGGAAACAACAATCAGAATCAAAACCCTACTCACTACTACTCGGGAATTCAGAATCACAAGAACTTCTTCTACGCCATCCAAAGAATGCTCTCCAACCACCTTCCGATTTTAACCATCAAAGAGAGCAACGAGGGCCAACTAACGACGAGCGTCTTCACCGACAAGAACAGGAGATGGAGGGCCTGAAGTCAACAATGAAGAACATGGAAAAGAAAATAGCTCAAATTGCCAATCTATGTCCACGATGGCAAAGGATAGATTACCAAGTAAAACCGAAATCAATCCGAAAGAAAGTAATACAATTGACTCCGGTCGAGTCGGAAATCACCATTTGAGGTAGTAGTACAGAAGGGGCTAGTAAGCCCAATAACATTTATTCCCCTGATAATCCTCCTCTTCTAATAACTCCTATTCATTTTTTCAGAGAGATTGAATCTCAAGAATTAATTTAAGAATTTCATCGAAAGGATCAAACAAATTCAAATCAACATCCCTTTTGCAGAAGCCTTGGAGGTAATGCCAAACTACACCAAGTTCATGAAGGAAGTACTATCCAAGAAAGTACGAATCGAAGAAGACACGCCAGTGACACTCACGGCAACATGCAGTGCCCTTCTTCAGTCAAATTTACCACGGAAAATGAAAGATCCAGGGAGTTACACTACTCCTTGTATTATTGGGAATTCTACTTTTCATAAAGCTTTATGTGATTTGGGAGCAAGTATTAATTTGATGCCTATGTTTGTGTTTCTAAAACTGGGCTTAGAAAATTTAAACTGCACACGCATGACTTTACAATTAGCTGGTCGTTAATTGAAATAGCCTAATGGGATTGTAGAAGATGTGCTGGTTAAAGTATACAAATTCATTTTGTGTGTTGATTTTGTGGTACTTGAAAGGCCTGAAGATGATGAAGCACCAATCATTCTAGGTCATCCATTCTTAGCCACTGGTAAGGTGATGATTGATATGGACTTAGGATCTTTGAAACTTAGGGTGAATGGGGACGAGGTTGTTTTTAATTTGATAAATGCATTTAAACACTCTTAACATGTTGAGCATTGCAGTAGAATAGACGTGATCGAGGAATATGTTTCCTCCATTTGTGATTTGTATGAATATTGTGATTTTGTTGAGCACTACATTGTTAATTCTATTGATCTGCATTCTGCTTCCCTGAAACTCCAATTGAAAATGATGTGCTTGATTGTATGTTATTTCTTCAGAGTGCCGAGATTTTGGGCATAGACGAGGTAGGAATCATTCATGAGATACCAGTTAGTGTGAAAACGAACCCCGTACTGGAATTGAAACAATTACCGGATTATCTTTGTTATGCTTTTCTTGGAGCAGACAAGACATATCCGGTGATTATTTCTTCTAGTTTGAGCGAGGCCGTAACAAAAACACTGTTGGAAATCCTTAGAGAATATAGGTCGACTATAGGTTGTTCTATTGAGGATATTAAGGGGATTAGCCCGTCTACTGTCCAACACAAAATTCTAATGGAAGACGTCTATAAACCGAGAGTCCAACCTCAGAGGCGGCTAAATCTGTCAATGAACGAGGTACTCAATAAAGAGGTCTTAAAACTGTTAGGCGCCGGTATGATATATGCAATTTCTGATAGTGCGTGGGTCAGTCCGGTATAGGTTGTGCCAAAGAGGGGTGGGATGACGGTTATTGTGAATGATAAAATGAACTTATTCCGTCTAGGACAGTCATTGGGTGGCGTGTGTGTTTTGATTACCGATTATTGAATGCAGCCACTAGAAAAGACCATGTCTCCCTTCCCTTTTATCGATCAAATGTTGGACATGTTAGGAGGATTCGAGTATTACTGTTTTCTAGATGGTTATTCGGGGTATAATCAAATCTCAATCGCCCCGGAAGACCAAAAGAAAACTACTTTTACTTGCCCCTACGACACTTTTGCATTTCGTAGGATGCCTTTTGGTTTGTGTAATGCACCTGCTACCTTTAAAAGATGTATGATGTCTATTTTTCATGATGGTAAAAGACTTTCTTGAGGTGTTTATGGATGATTTTTCTATTTTTGGATCGTCTTTCGATCATTGTGTTGGGAAAAAATGTCATTTTATGATTCGTGAATGTATTGTTCTAGGTCACAAGGTCTCGAAAAAGGGTCTTGAAGTTGATAGAGCAAAAATCGAAACTATTGAAAAATTGTGTCCACCGAAAGATGTCAAGGGGGTTAGAAGTTTTTTAGGACATGTTGGGTTTTACCGTAGATTCATTAAATATGTTTCGAAAATAGTAAAACTATTATGCCATTTGCATGAGAAGGAAGCCGTCTTTGATTTTGATTTTGCTGTTTGCAGGCTTTCACTTTTCTCAAGGAGAAGCTAACCCATTCACCGACTATGATCACTCCCGATTGGGAAGAACCATTCGAAATCATGTGCGATGCGATCGACTATGCTGTAGGTGCATTCTTGGGACAAAGATGAGACAAAATCTTCAAAGCCATCTACTATTCCAGTCGTACACTTGACCAGGCACATAAGAACTATTCGACAACCGAAAAAGTAATGCTTGCTGTTGTTTATGACATTGAGAAGTTCAGACCGTATATCTTCGGCTCGCAGGTGATCATCTACACAGACCACGCAGCTATTCGATATTTGTTCGCCAAGAATGATGCCAAGCCCAGACTCATCAGATGGGTACTACTACTCCAAGAGTTCGACTTGGAGATCAGAGACAAAAAGGGGAGCGAGAATGTGATGGTCGATCATCTTTCCAGACTCATTTTAGACGAAGCTCCATCCGAGGGAAACATTCAGGAATCATTCCCAGACGAGCAACTGCTCGCCATTAGCACTCACATTCCATGGTATGCTGATGTGGCCAACTTCTTGGCCAGTGGGATCATTCCGGACGGTCTATCTTACCACCGGAAGAAGAAATTCCTCCACAACAGTCGTTTCTTTCTTTGGGACGAGCCATTGCTTTTCAGAACCGGCCCAGATCGAGTTATCCAACGATGTGTTCCAGAAGCCGAAATACACAAGATCCTCACATATTGCCACTCTTCACCTTGTGACGGGCATCACAGGGAATCTCACACAGCCGCCAAAGTTCTGCAGTCAGGCTTCTTTTGGGCAACCCTATTCCGAGATAGTTACGAGTTCGTGAAATGGTGTGTTCGATGCCAACGGACCGGGAATCTATCCAAAAAAAGCCAAATGCCACTAAAAAATATGCGAGAGGTGGAGCTTTTCGATGTTTGGGGCATAGATTTCATGGGACCATTCCCTCATTCGAATGGAAAGTTGTACATTATGCTTGCCGTGGACTATGTGTCCAAATGGGTCGAAGCAATTTCCACCACTGCCAACGATGCTCGTACGGTCCTCAGATTCTTCCACAAGAACATTTTCTCAAGGTTTGGGACACCTAGGGCAAGTATTAGCGATGAAGGATCCCACTTCTGCAATAAACTGCTCGCCATTCTCACGAACAATTTGGGGATCCGACACAAAATTGCCCTAGCTTATCATCCGCAAACAAATGGCCTTGCTGAGTTGTCGAACCGAGAAATCAAACAGATTCTAGAGAAGACCGTGAGCACGAACCGAAAAGATTGGGCGTTGAAGCTCGATGATGTACTTTAGGCCTATCGGACCGCATTCAAGACACCGATTGGGATGTCTCCGTACAAACTTGTGTTTGGGAAAGCGTGCCATCTGCCAGTGGAATTGGAGCACCGAGCTTATTGGGCCGTCAAAAAGCCCAATTTCGATCAAACAACTACGTGCGATCGTCGGTAGCTTCAACTCAACGAAATGGAGGAATTCCGAAACGATGCTTACGAGAATGCCAAGATTTATAAAGAAAAGACGAAAAAGTGGCATGACAAAATAATTTCAAAGCGAGAGTTCTGGGCAAGTGACCAAGTCCTAGTATTCAATTATCGGCTATGACTATTTCCGGGAAATCTCAAGTCCCGTTGGTCAGGGCCATTCGTAGTCCTGAGTGCAACCCCATAAAGGAATTATTGATATCCGAGAACGAGACGGTCCATCGTTCAAAGTAAATGGGCAACGAGTCAAAGCATTACTACCCGAATGGTGCTCCCGAGGAAGTGGAGCGTGTCACTTTGATTTTCTCCCAGTAAATCCAAACGAAGTCGAGCCGTCGACCGTAAAACAGACGCTAAATTGGAGGCACCCCATTGTTGCTCATATTTCTGTCATTATTTTGATGCTTTCGTCTTTGTTTTCTAGCCTTTTTTGCATTTTTATATTTTTTTTAGGTTCAATATCTCATTCTCACCCTTTTAAATTTCAATTTTTTGGCAGATTACACGAACCCAGATCGCGATCCAGACCACCGTATTGCGATCTGGGGGGGTCTTCCAGTAGTAAAAATTCACGGACCCAGATCGCGATCCGGAACATCGTATCGCGATCTGGGGGGTCTTATAGAAGCAATAAGTTGAGGACCCAGATCGCGATCCCAAACTCCGTATCGTGATCTAGGTGTTATACAGAAGCAAAAAGTTGAGGACCCTGATCGCGATCTAACACTGCGTATCGCGATCTGGGAGGGTCTTACAGAAGCAAAAAATTCGAGGACCTAGATCGCGATCCAGCACTCCGTATCGCGATCTGGGGGGGTCTTACAGTAACTAGAAGTCGCAGACTCAGATTGCGATCCAGCCATGCGTATCGTGATCTGGGGGGTTTCACAATAAGTAAAAGGGAAGACCCAGATCGCGATCCAACACCTGTCTATCGCGATCTGGGGACGGGAACAGTTACAAATTCAAAACCCTCTTTTTTTTCTCACTTTTATTTTTAACAAACTCGAATTCCTCTCTTCCAAAACTTCAATTCTCTTGCATTTTTTCTCATTAAACTTGCATCTTTTTATAATTTCATCAACGATTAACTTCATTGCTTGTTTTAATTAAGAATTGTGGGGGGGGGGGGGGGGGTCTTCAACCAAAGTATGTTCTTGACCCAATTTTTTGAGTTTTGCATGTATTTTCGAATTTCTTTCAAATTTCTTGTCTTTTTCCCTTGATTCTTCATTAATTATGATTGCACGTGTTTGTGCACTTGATTTTGGGACTTGAAAACGTGACATTATCGTTGAACCAATGTTTAGATATAGGAATTGCCCTATTTTGCTTAATTTTGATTTTTTTGCTAAAACTTGCTTTGGTTGAATTCTATGATACTTGTTTTTGTTATTTCATGGCTATTTATTGGTGTTGTTGTGTTGATTTGATGTAGGAGGGTTAGATTTCGAAAGAATTGCACATTTAAAGATTAAAGAACTTTCGCACACCAAGTGTTCGACGAATTGTCCAAACCAAAGTTCAAGCCAAATTTGCCTCCCTAATTCACATCATAACATCACCGGCAAACTAGTTCCAAAGTACGGGTGAGGCCTCCAAGAAATCTCAACCCAAGGGAAAGGGAAAAGCCCCAGAGAAAAAAAGGGCAAAACTCAAGGCAAAAAGGGGCAAGAAGGCACTTCAAACTCGCCTCCACATCCGAAATTGCCGGAAGAGCAAGCCATTCCACGAACCGGTAATGTGCCACTCCAGACAAGCACACGTGCTAATCAACACACGATCGTGAATCGAGTCACCTTTGAGGAATACGATGAACACATTTACGTGAATGTCGAAGCCAAGGGTGAATATATCGACCGCCTCACTCAACCGATCGTCCCAAAACGAGAATCGGATGAGCACACGATTGGATGTGCCTCTGTTGTCAGAAACATCCAGGATAGGCATTGGAGAATCCTGGTATACAAACCGGGAAGCTACAACGAGATTCTGGTCCGGCTCTTCTATGCCAACGTCGGTCACTACACAGGCTCGGTGGTATTTATCCGGGGCGTGGAAGTTCGCTATGACGCAGCCGCCATCAACCAAGTCTATAGACTATCCCCCGATCTACCGACCAAGCCGTTCCAAGCGTTGAAGATGGAAACAACATACGAGATCTCATCCATGCACTGTGCCCCAGAGGTTCTCATTGGGCACCAGGTGACTAATGGTTCTTTCGAGCAGCGCTGTCGAGGGAGGTCAAGATTTGGATGTACTTTGGTTTCCCCCGACTCATGCCGAAGGTTTCAACGGCCCGGACTTATACCACTCGCCTCATGTTGATGTACGCTATCATGAAGGGAACCCCTCTGGACGTGGGCGCCATTATTTACTCGGAGATTCGACGGTGCATGGGCGACACCTCCTTGGGCCCGATGTTCTAGTCTCTCATCATTGCACTGTCCAAAGCAGCTAATGTCGCAATGTTTGCCGGCGACAAGGTCAGTAAAGCTGCAAAGCCGATATTCACGTTCAACGGGGCGATGGCCTTGAGCCTGATCCACCAGGACCCGCAGGTGCCCGACCCGTACCACGAGGCGGGACACGACAGCAGACAGCGGCAGCTCCGCCACTTCCGGAGTATTTGGCCGAGTGGATGGACGTTATGGAAGAAAACATGGGCTGGTTCAAGAAGATGATGAAGGCTATGGTAGCAGCGCTCCAGTGCCCGACCGACAACATTGTCGAGCCACGGCCGTTCCCACCACGGCCTCGATTTGACGGGGCATCATCCTCCAACGCAGCTACCGAAGAAGCAGCACAAGCGGCAGCCACCACACTAGTGACGCAGGCTTTGGGAGGAGCACAAGCGTGGCCATCGGGAGGAGGAGGGAGCAACCAACGAGGGACGAGCTATCGAGGAAGACCATGATGACTAGGGGACGTTGTGTTTTCTTCCATTTTATTTTTTATTCTGCTTTTGAGCATAGGGACTATGCTAGAGTTTAAGTTTGAGGGTGGTGTTTCTTGAACTTGTTCTTTTGTTTAGTTTTTTTGTTTGTTTTGGATGGTCTTTGGATTGATATTTCGTTTACGATTTATCTTTGCTAGACTTTGTTTTTATTTTATTTTATTTTATTTATCTTATTTTGATTTGGTCTTTTGCATGCATATCATATAACTTAGTTTCATTTATGGATTTCGATTTTCGTATTGGTATTATGTTTGTCACATACATTTCATATAGAATTGAGTGTAAGTTGTATTTTCGGATTGTATTGAAGCAAAGCAGTTAATGAATTAGTAGATTGGCTAGTTGATTTTAAAATTGAAGTTGTGCATAACCGGCAATTAATAGATGAACATTCCGACTGCGTTTCTGCAACTTGTTTTGAGAGCCTTTCTAATCCTTTCCGATTAAGCATGAGCACACTTTTATGAGGGGTATAATAGTCCGAGGTTTGGGGGTGCGTTATAATTGAACTATGTTTTCACGATTCGAGTTGTTGGCTAAAAGTTCGATAAATGGTCTTTACGTTTTTATTTTATGTTATTGTGTTATTTAAAAAAAAAATTGTATTGTCGTGATTCACGCTCTGATTTCCCAGCCTCTCTGGCTCGAGCTTAACCCGTAGGGTGCACTTCGTCACCTAGTCTCTCGAGCTATCTACCTTGGAGGTTTCCTGGACTAAAGTTCGATATATGGGTCAGAAAGATAACACAGTGGTATCGAGCCTTGCACGAGTCACGATCATATCCCGTTTCAAAAAAAAATATTTGATGAAAATCACCAAAAGAATTGTTGTTGTCCTTTTTTCTATTGAATAAATAGACCTACTTTTGCTCAATTCGAGTTTTTAAAATTCAGAATCAAAACTTACTTTAAATCCAAATCTACTCAAAACCATTGATGATTGTCCTTTGTGTTTGATTACGGATTCTTGAATCTATCTAATATTTTGGTGTAGAAACAACTATTGCGTCGGTGGGGAAATCGAATATCTTAAGCCGTATGCTATTCTAAGATTTTAGGTTATCTAGCTCGTTTTATCTTTGGAATTAATTGCAATGCTTTGACCAATCCGGCAACTTTGTGGGTGTGTTGTTTCAAAACCCTCACGAGACACAACTAGTCCTTTGGGGGTACCAAGTGGTTCAAAGGCTTGTTGCATACGCTAAATGCAATCGTGATTCCCTACGTTAGTGGCCTAGATTTAGTTTGTTGTTTTTGTTCTTTTTTGTTGCAGTTTTGTTTTGAATTACTTGGGACGAGTAAAGATCTAAGTTTGAAGGTATGATAAGTTTTCATTTTGCACGATTTTTACTTATCGAATCTTCGAGTTTTGGTCTTCCTTCGTCCGAGTTTCGGCTTTATTTGTACATATTATGCGTTTCTTGTTTTATTTCTATTTTTAGGTTTTGTTAGCTATTTTTGCCGAGTCGAAGCAATTTGAAAGCGAAACCGATTTTTCAAGCCAATTTAAGTGGCCAAGAAGACCCAGATTGCGATACAGTGTATGCCTATCGCGATCTGGGGTTGTTACAGAAGGCTTCCTGATCCAGAGCCAGATCGCAATCCAGCATCCTGTATAGCGATCTGGGGGTTGTCACAGTAGCCTTTTCACTCAAGAACCAGATCGCGATCCAGCATCCCGTATCCCGATCTATGGGTTGTCACAGTTGCCTTTTCGCTCAAGATCTAGATTGCGATCCAGCACGCCGTATCGCGACCGGGGGGGTCTCACAGTGCAGTATTGCTTCAGACGCAGATCGCGATACACCACCCCAGATTGCGATCTGGCAAGGCGGTGGGCAGTTCACCGAGGC